CGGTATGTCCGTCTGGTGTATATTGTGTATGTGCATGTGCCTGATAGAAACTATTTATATTTATATTATTTATATTTATATTATTTATATTATTATTTATATTTATATTATTATTTATATTTATATCGGGAGAAGAAAACACCAATAAATATGAATGTAAAAACATACGCCCGCACCATACACGATCAATAGCAGCAAGAGCTCTGCTGCAGTATTTTGCGTCCCCCACCAAAGGATGGCCCAGATGCTGAAAGTGAACCCTAAACACAAACAAAAACATTTATTTATTTATTTATTTATCTATTTATTTATTTTATTTATTTTATTTATTTGTTTATGATGGGTCAGAGAGAGAGAAAGAGAGAAAGAGAGAAAGAGAGAGGTTTATGCGGCTGTTGCACACAATCACGCACGGGAACGAGAACAGCAGCAGCAGCAGCAGCAGCAGCAGCAGCAGCAGCAGAGGAAAGTGTAGATACACCAGAAACTGCTGCAGCAACTCTAGCAGCAGCAGCAACAGAAGTATAAAGTATCAGCAGCAGCAGCAACAGCAGCACACAGACCAACAAAAGGAGACGAAAACAAGATTCAGACAAATACAAAAAGAACAAAGAAGATACAAACAAGGAGACAAAGGAAGAAAAAAAAAAAAGAAAAAAAAAGAAAAAAAGAAAAGAAAGAGAAAGAAAAAGAAAGAAAAGAAAAAGAAAAAAGAAAAAAGAAAAAAAGAAAAAAAAAGAAAAAAAAAAACGAACCTGATTTGGTGTGTTCTTCCCGTGTGTATTTTTACGCGGCAGAAGCTGAACTCTTGTGTATAAGAAAACTCTTTGCTGCTGCTGCTGCTGCCGTTGCTGCTGCTGCTGCTGCTGCTGCTGCTGCTGCTGCTTCCTCCCTTGGATGACGCACGTTGTCCTGCAGCGGCTGCATTTCCGTTTCCTGCTGCTGCTGCAGCAGCAGCAGCAGCAGCACTGCCACTACTACTACTATTACTAATCCTAGCAGCAGCAGCAACAGCAGCAGCTATCTTGGGGTCGTTGGGGTTTCGCAGTTTATACACCCGAAGCAAACAAAACTCTGTTAGTGCTTCCTCTCCCCCCTCATCAGGCCCAAC